CGTAAATATATTCTTTACAAATATAGTAAGTGGATGGAATTTTCATAGAAAAAATATTAATTATTCATTTAAATTGAATTTAGTAAAATATGCAACACTTTAATTTCAGAAGTTCTTTTAAAAACAGATTTTGCCTATCGCATAAAACGCTTTACATGGCTTGGCAACCTAAGATTTTTTTAAGACGCTTGTTTTCATCATTCGCTGAACCTCTTAACCAACCAAGTAATTTGATACAACAAACACCACAAGTTTCAAATCAAAGTTTTAATAGCGCTACAGTCGGTCTAGAGAGCTTGACCTGGTTGCACAATCTGGCACCTTGTTTCCCGTTAAGAAATGATCAAATTCAGGTCATACAAGAGCTGAAACATTTTTACGATACCCTGGTGGAAAGTATCCAATAGCGAAAAATCGTATCTTCTTGGCTAGTCTATATTTGGGTACAGGACAATTGGAAAGTAATTTTGTACAGATACTTAGAAAAAGCTTACAACAACAATCAACTTTAAAAGTGAATGTACTTTTGGATTTTACGCGCGGTACTCGTGGAGAAATAAATTCCAAGACAATGTTTATTCCATTAGTGAAAGAATGAAACTAAGTCTGTATCACACACCCTAATCTAAGGGCTATGACTAAACGTTTAATTTTATAGGCGTGGCATTCGATTTTCCCCTATTTTGAAAAATTTGATGTTAATTATTTCCATTTGTTCATACAAGTGCTTGAAATATAATATATAATCTTGTATATATAAAAAATATGCATCTAAATCGATCCAAATCCCCATCCCGCGCTACAGTAACCAAAACCATTTCGCTGAGTAATATATGTTTCTTCATCATCCTTTTTTTTTTGGGCTAGACAGACAAGAAAAATTAAAGTTCATTTACTTTGCTGTAACTAAAAAGGCATATATAATAATAAGTATTCGTTAAAGCTCGTTACCTTCGTGCTTATACAGTTGACATTGACAATAAGATACGTTTCGCTTTTGACTTTTTAAAATTTCAAATGTGTAGATCGATAGATAATCCCAATTATCAATGCTTACATTAAGTAAAGGATTTTTGCTTTTGAATTATATGGTGTTGTGAAGTTGAAAAATCTTATTAAAGTTCCACACGTTTCCCATGCTTATTAATTACTTCAAGTTTTTCCTGTTTTGGCGCTACATTATCAGCCGAAATATTCTCCTTTATGGGGGCAGGTTCTTTCGGTATTCGAGTTCCCTCCATGGATTGGACTTTTTTTGGTTGTGCACGGCTTCTCTGTAGTGCTCGATTTTAATGACGTCCTTGTCGTCGTCGTGCTTGCAGAAGGGACGGCGGTTGTTTTTGCTGAGATAACGGGCTTCAGTGTTGTCGGAGTAGATCTGGCATGAGTGACTGCAGGTTTAGTAACGACTGATGGCGCTGTTGTCGTCTTTTCCATTCGTGGTTTCAAAGAAGATTCAATTTCCATGCCTTCATATCGCACATTATTTATCCGGGCTTGTAGCATTGGCTTTTTGGACACTGGCGATTTAACACGAACGAGGAAACGATTAAACGGCGATCCCAAATATAAATAATCATTAAATTCTAACACATGACAGGCCGCTCCAACACTTGTATCAAAACCATGCAAAGATCCCACTATATTGCCATCCCAATCTAGACGAACAATTGTAGAACGTTTCGGAATCATAAAAGAGACACTTTCGCCGTGGTCAATAAAGTGCACAAAACGTTGCGAAAATTTGTTCGGGTAAATATTATTGAATGCACGAAATGGCGCCTCGAACAAATATAAGATACGAGCCAAAAATAAAGGCAAATTAGGGAATTCCGAGAAGATGGCAAAAAGACTAGGATTCTGGCTGTCCACAGAGAGAATTAACGGAACCCAAATTCCATCTTCGTTTGGTGTTAAATTGTCGGGCAATCCAGGCAAACCTTCGGCAAAGACCTCGCCTTTACCAGCACTGCTGCCTTTAAGATGGTATTTCATTAAGCTAAACTTTGGATACCGCCACGTTGGAATGAATTATTAGGTTTGCAGCATATGAAAACATATTTATTCGACGATGCTGTACTTATATCTGGAGCCAACCTGTCGAATGATTATTTTACAAATCGACAAGATCGTTATATACTTATTGAAGATAAGGCTTTAGCGGATTTCTATGCAGAGTTCATTTCCCGTGTGCAAGAATTTAGTTTGGAAGTGCGTAAAGATTCTGAAGTGGGTTTGCACCACAAATGGAAAATTTTACCATACGAAGGCACAAAAGAAGAATTCACGGAAAAAGCTAAGCAACGAATCTTGGACTTAATGCGAGATGCCTATAAAAATCAGCAGAAAGCTTTATCTAATTGTGTAAAAGTTGACACGTGCATATTCCCACTAATAGAAATAGGGCAAATTGGCATACATCACGACAAAAGACTGCTATCGAACTGTGTGGCTGGTTCTCGCTTAAAACTAGCAACAGGCTATTTTAATTTAACTCAAGAATACATGGATACCTTAACACATAAATGTCTAGCGCAATTTTCGATATTAATGGCGCATCCTAGTGTAAGATTTTTCCACTCATTATGAAAATTAATTATAGCTTACAATCGCAATATTTCAAGGCTAACGGTTTGGTGTGTGGTCAACAAAATCATCGCGTCAACTTTTTCGAAAAAGAAAAACCCGGTTTGGACTTATCACGCGAAAGGGTTGTGGTATTATTTGCCCTGTTGTTCATTGGCTAATCTGACTTTAATCGGCTCGTCGAATTTCGGTGAGCGTTCCGTCAATCGACATTTGGAGACACAAATTTGTTTAATGACGACCTCAGATGCCGAGGTGTGCTACAATGTTACATATAAAGCTCCGAAAGAACTCCCAGGGCCTCAAGGACGACATTAAAAAGGATAGTTGCAAAAGAATCTTAATCTGGACTTTCGATTTTTTAAGCTGCTGAGAACTCAGCGAAGTAGGAAGCCAAGAGGAATCTGCCTAGGAGACAATATTGCCACTTTTTAAAATACATATGTGGTCCGAAAGATATGTTCTCATGAAAATGATTAAAATTTTTTTTTGCACAGCTTTGTGATTCTGTCCTATATACGATTCTTGACAAAATAATGATGACAAATAATTTGCGTAGGTTCTTTATAGAATTAACGTTTTGGATAAGAGAAGCAGAAATTTGACCAACAATCGAAAAGAGTCGGAATGGAAAGAGTTGCGAAAATTACGTGGACCGCATTTCTGAAGTCACCATTTTAAACTTGATTAATAGAAAATTATTACTTGGAAATTATTAAATGGATTGCTTGGACACCATTTAGAAAATTGCAACTCTTAACATGTCTAATTGTTGCTCTCTGTTGCTCTTTGAATTTCTCTCCCTATTTTTTTCGAGCAATTGCATGCGAAAAAATTCACAAAAGTAACAAAACGGAAAGACTCTCAGCAAAAGTCTTGCTTGGTTGCAGAGCAAAGATTATTTCATGATAGTTTAGAAGCGTTTCTAAAGTACCAGAAAACCACCCCGCCCACCTTTTTACTATTATTGTTATCATTAATGTTGCTTTTACACACTATCGACTTTATAGCCGCATGCACGCAAGTGTATACACACTATTGGATTATTTTTTGTACACTTTGACTGCCTTCTACAGAGAGTGAGTGTGTCGTGGATTCATCTACTGTCAGCGATTGTTATGTTGTGTTAAACGTGAAGCAACCGGATGGACATATACACTCTCGCACTCTCAATGTGCGCACTTTAGTGCCGCTGCATTAATTCAAAATGATCGGATACTACGCGAACATGAACCACTAGATGGATACCACACGAAAAATGAAAACAAAATAATACCCATTGTGGTCATTGTGTTGTTGTTGTTGTCGCTGTCGTTGTTGTTATTGTTGTTACCGTTGTCGTCGCGTATTTACTTCAGCAATGAATAGCTGATTGTTTTTGTTCGAGCGCCGTACAACAAGAAAAGCTATAAAATATTTGAAATTCCATTCACATTCCAATATGCAGTTCATGTCGTGCCGTGATGGTGGTGTTCGCTATTAACAATGCAACTATAACTTTGTAGACGAGAGGGGAGCTTTTTCAATGGTGACGTAAAAACGCAAAGCGACTGCATTTCTTTGAACACAATTTTAATATTAACTATTACCATAACACACATATATCGCGAGTAATATTCGGCAAAGAGGTATTCCTACCACGTTTCCAACGTACTATTAACAACGCCAACAATAAAAAGTCAAAACATATATAAAAAAAAAAAAAAAAAAAAAAGGCATCACAGCCTACTAAACCAATCAACTAGTTAAGCGTACAATCAGACAAACAAACAGATAAATAAACAAGCAACTAACCACTCGCAAACGTATATACATTTACTTATATATACACGCGCGCACATACACACATCTAAATAAACATTCATCGATCGAGCATGACAGTACAGGGTAGGAAGTTGTTTCCATATGCTAAACGTACTCCGCAAAGCTAATGAACGATAAAAATGCTCACTCACTTGTCGCTGCTTTTGTCGTTTTTGTTGCTATTGCTGTTGCTGTTATTTTAATTTACTTTGTTTACTTGACCAACAAAAAATTATGTATTTGTGTTATTTGTTGACAAACTGGACGAATGTCTAGATAGAGTTTAGAGTTTAAATTTTCATTACTTCAAGCTGTAGCGCATGTGTTGTAAGTTTTTTTTGTTGCAGAAATCTTTGATTTTGTTTGTATACCATTGTAACACATTTGAAATGCATAATCCTGTTAAGTTAATAATTGAAACGAGGATAAACCCGAAAGGCAAATTGTTTGCTAACGTCAGTTCTCAACGTCTGCTATGAATTTTGCGAACTTAAAATTCGTCCGAATTCAAATTTTAATTTGCCAAGTTTAACTTGGGATTCGACAATGTTTGACAAGGCCCTTCGAAAGCTAGTAATGCCTACAAGTACTACAACTAATACTGCTATTACTAATAGCATAGTTACTCCAATCCCTATTAATAATAGTACTACTACTGCTTATACCAATTATTATCGCCAGCACTTTAGTGCTAATCCTACTGTTACTTCTGGTATTACTGATATTATTAACACTACTACTAATAAAACTGGTACTTATGGTATTATCATTAATACTGCAACACTTAAGGTTAGTACTGCTAGTAGTACTAGAAGTGGTGTTAATACCACTGGTGGCAATACTAATGCAAAAATCAAAAAATCTTAATTCTACTAATACTACAACCAGTAACACTACTACTATCAACCACTAATGCTGGTACAAATACTACTATTACTAATGCTAATGCTACCCTAACGCTGATGAGGCTCTTCCTTTATTAAAATGAGGATATCGAAAGCATTTGAAGTATAATGTTTGTGCCGACGAGAAGCTTTGGAGGATAGAACTTCCCTTCTACGTTCCAATAGTGAAGTTTTTCTGCAAAAATGTAACAGGAATGGGGAAAAATTCAACTCAAGCAGCAAATAGGTTATATTTTTATTGTCAATATCACAAGATAAGCTTTTTTTCTTGAAAAAAGTCTGGAGCATTTTTTTTTTTTTTCTTCTAAACGTAAAGAAAATAGCTTTGGAAGCCGAATATAAAAAATTCATATATTTTATAATGTTTTTAAGCGGTTAATCGGTTAAGTGTTCAACAATTCGGGTGTAAATGGGGACACTTAGTGGAGAGGATTCCTATCATCCGTCAAAAAAAATTCAAAAGGAATGGAAAAGTTGTTATAGAGTGGTTTTTGACAGACCGTGGTAAGAACGAGAGAGACGGTATCCAGCAGGGAAGTGAGAATTTTAAGCTCCGCTAAACTTTCTAATTTGTTGCAGAATATCCATCTATCTATTTCTGCTTATATTTGAACTCTACATACCGTTCTCGTCAAACGACACATGTTGAGAAGAAAACATGTTGAGAGGAAAGGACAAAGTAATTAATAATGGTAACTCTTGCTTCAAAAGTGTCTTCTAGGTCATTGTTCGACTTGAACTCTTTCTGAATTTGTAATTTTTTCAATTGTTGGGTAACTCAAATTTACTAAATTATACATGGAACTCCGCTTCAATTCGCCTTTATTTCATTTTGCAGGAGCTGTACTGCATGAGTGTTTAATATTACGCACAACACACACTGGGAGCTTTTTATTTAGACTTTAATTTCTCGCAAGACGACGCTTTTCAAATCTTCTACGATACATTTACATTCTCGAGTATCTTCTTAAGCGTTGCTTCCAAATAGTTCTAGCCTCGCTCTATAAAACGTGCTAAGGCTCATTGAATCCTTTCTATTCCAAGCGAACAAACGTTAAAACCACTCTCTATATTTACGCTAATTTGCCGTATGGCGGTTCTTGTTTTTCACCTTTTCTACGACATATTTTCATTATTGTTTCGTTGTCCACGCAACTTGACTTAGTTGTTGCTTGGTGTGCATCAAAGCTACTTTTTGCTACTATATGCGAAAATAAAAAAAAGAAAACCGAAAAAGAAAAGCGAAAAAGCGAAATGAAAATAATGCTGGAAAGAACGGAGAGAAGAAAGGCAGCGGGCAACTTGGGAAATGCTAAATAATCTGTAACGTTTGCTATTTATAACTTTTGCGTTGCGTTGCGTTGCTCTATGCGGTGCTTAAGAGAACACTGAAAAATTTGGCATTCACCAGGCAAGCAGGCGCGCGCGCGAGTCATCATGCAAAGTTGTATGGTATGTTCGATGCATAATTTAGCTTCCTTTGCAATGTGGCAATAACGCTGCGGCCGCAGTTGCGCTGCTGTTGTTGTCAAATTGTAATGCGGACTTTTTACCACTTGCGTGCAGCCAGTTCAAATGGTTGTTTTCTATATATGAAAATTATTATAAAAATTTTTTTACTGCATATATACACGTACATACATACAAACAAAATTTTATAAATATATCCGATGCAATATTTATAAAACTATGCGATTTTTTTCGTACTTTTTACATGACTCAGCCGTATTTGACTTAACTGAAACTGGTTGTTTGTATCTTACACTTTGGTGTGACCGTTTTCCACTTGAAAGCATTATTGCAAGTGATTTTTTGAATAATTTTTTTTACATTTTTTCTCAAGCTTATATAGCTAGTTCACAAAAACGCTGCTTGCTTTTACCTTTGCGCTACTATTTGTCTCTATTTTTTTCTTTTTTTTTCCAGATATAATTGCGTTAATGTGTGCCTTAAATTGTCTCCAATAAAGGAAAAAAAAAAAAAGAAGGAAAAGAAGAAGGAAAAAAGCAGACAGAATAGCCTAAAGATAATGGGCTGGCTCCCAAAATTAGCATAACCTTGAATTTAATGTCCTCCTGTTATATATTGGTCGGTTGGCTGGTTGGTTAGTTGGTTCATTGGTAAGGTAGGTAGGGAAGAAAACGTTTATTTTTAAAGCACTAATTAACTGTTGAGATAAAAATATGCGATATAATCAGGTGGAATCGTTTTTCTTCTACATACACGACCATATGCCTATACACGTACGTTACACTGAAATTCTCGTTTATTTGCTGCTTATGAAATTATTATAATAATAAAAGTAAAGTGAGGAGAGAGAAAGGAAAACGAAAACGAAAAAAAAACAATAAACAGTGAAAAATATCCCGCCACTTCGCCCGCCGTCATCATTATCACTTTCGCCTTTAATTCCCATTAAGATGTCTCTATGCATATGTGTGCGCGCGTTCGTATTTTAAGATAAAGGGATTTATGCAGAATTTTGCTGATTTTGTTTATCTATTCACTTGTCAGTCATTTCGTACTTATTATGTGCTGAGAATACTTATTATGCATGATATGGTAATGGTTGTGCAGTTTTATTATTATTTTAAGCGTTTTTCTTTTATTGCACTGTTTCAGTTAGTTTACAGCAAATTTATCATCATTACATCCAATACGTAGCCACGACAACATTGTATTTGATCGTTCCAAGTACGTATATATGTATATAGCGACCATATCTTAGCTAGCATCGAAAGAGTTTTTGTTTGAATTTTTATGCATTAAAATATCATTAAAATATTATGGAATTTTTCTTATCAACATTACTTTGAAGAGTTTCCATGGAATTTCTCTTTGTATTAAATAATTCATAAAAAAAACGAAAAAAAAAGGCGCGTTTATCGGAACTTTGAAAATCTTTTTCCTAACTATTCTGAACATAAGATTTCTCAAGTTTACGCAGTAATAAGTATTGTGCTAAATCGATGAAAGACATGTGACAATGGCGGAAAGAAGATTTCTCATTCTTTGAACAATCATCGATACTTATACCGCATATCTAAAAAGAGATATATTGAGAGGGAGAGCGGTATAGTTACGCCTTTTTCACATGAGAAGGAAATTCTTCTAATGTTTTGAAAAAGAATGAAAAACGTTTAGAGCCTTCATATTAAGAATCGAAAAATGGAACTAAAACACAGGAATTAACGAAATGTACGCTAATCAAAATATTAAGAAAGTTGTATTCAGCTGGGGATGAATTTCGCATACCCATCACCATTGATATCTTTGGCACCCCATACCTTTGTTTATTGTCATAAAAATGTACATGTGATCAACTTTATTTATTTTTACTTTGTCTTCACTTTTAAGGAAAATTAATCTGGTGCCATTGTGACGTCCACCATAATTGCTTTAAAACACTTCGCCTTTCACATTCTACTCTCCAAGCACTTTTATTTGATATCCACATCGCTGGTGTTATTAAGAAAGCAGTAATCCACCAGACCGTGATATCCGCAAAATTTACTTCAGATTTAACCCATTTTTAGGCAGATAATATATCTCTATTTGAGGAAGGTACAAAATAGTTTTAAATACTTTGTCTTTTCATTAATAAGCATAAAGTGAAAAAGCAAAATTTTATCACTTGTAACTTTGTGTGGCCATAGCCGACGTTTTCCATTTTTGGGCATAAATAGCACAGTTTCTCGTAAAGTAATCCCGAGCAAACAACCGTCAATTTTATTTACGGAAATGAACTTGCGTTCAGTTTACGCTGTACAGCGTGCTCGTGCTCTGACCAATTTGACCTATTTTCAACGTGCTGAAACTAGCAATGTGGCTATCAAATTCGAACTTGTCATCTTCATTTTTGCGACCAGGAGAGTATCAATAACTTACACCACATAAACACACAGGCATACAACGGACAACAGACAGCTTTGGCTTACTAAATTGAGAATATACTGGTGATCACGGACGCGCATACTTTATCCTCCTATACTTTATAGGATCTCCGAAGCTTCCTTTTGCGTAGTGTATATACTTTATAGGGTCTCTGAAGCTTCCTCAGTGGCGGATATAATAAGACGGTTGCGTTTGACTCAGATCACAAGATTGTTGCTGATTGCCGATATGCTGCGGGATCATTTAACGGTTACCCAATTTATTCATTTATTTTATTTATTTACACATGAAGTTAGACTAAGTTAAATAAACAACCGATTTCAATTAACTCATAGAAGTAAATCTCATGCTAATTATTGTTGTATGTGTAAAGAAAACGGAAAATGACGAAAATATAAAAGGAAAAAAATGTATGCATAAATAAATAAAAGAAAGAGGAGCAAAAAAAGCATGTACGCATCTAGCGTAGAGAAACACTCGCAACCGATATCCGAGATCCGAGTTGTGAGTGAACCCCGCGGAAATTCGTATTATGAAGATAAACTTCAAGCCAAACTTCATATTACCCGCACAGTACGCATTGCGTCATATCGTATGACGTTGCATTTAGTCTTTCATATATAAATTTCATACTTGATGATCCATTAGTCGAAAAGTTAAAATTGACAGCTGTTTTCGAACTTATTCCAAGTATCACTATTCGAAATTGGCACCACCGACGACAATCCGAACCATTGCTATCTATCTTTTGTTGCTTTTTACGATTGCTTGGAATAAGGAGAGGCAGGCGTAGATTATTTACTAAGATTATTGTTAGGGTATGGGAGATTTATAAGAGATTTTCGGATATGTTCCTTAATAGGATGTAACAAGTTCAATTGGACATTGCAACTTGAATACGGAGGCAAGTGTGATCTTTGTTATAAGCCAATGGTTGCACTCACACAATGCTTGCGAAGCGCTTTGTTAATAGTTAGAAATAATCACAGGCAGAGGGCAAATGAGAAAGGGAGCGTCACTCGACTTCCACTTCAACATTAAAAGATTACGAACCAATGCAAAGATCCCTGCAGGTAAATTGTTTCATAGACAGGAAGCAAAAGTAAAAGAAGATCCGCAATATCCGTGGGGTTGTGCGGTAAAAGGCGAGCTCTACCGCATGTGAGTGAGAATGCTGAGAAGACTCCCATTAAAAGGCTTGATTAATGGGGATTTTATCTGTTATTGCATTCTATTGACTCACTGCCGAATTTCCTTAGGTTATTAAGCGTTATATACGCGCATGGATTATGCTGCTTTTTAAAGCGCACACAGCCGCGCAATATTTATTAAGATTTATATATTTATGCACTCCTTAAAACTAAGAAAATAAGTTACAAATATAACGAAAAATATAAAAAAAAAACACAAACTCTTTTAGGTTAAGTAACGTTTCTCATCTTTCAGGGTCGATTTAAAAAGAATCATTTCTTTTGTATATACCTGACTGCCTTGGCCTAAGATGACACTAGCTATCGACCACTGCACTACTATCGCTTTCGAACTTGTCAAGACTTTAAATAGTTTTAGTGAAAGGTTAATTTCCCTTGGATACTCTCTAGTATGCATAATGGTTGCATTTATTTACAGCCAAGCAGTAGCATAAGGAAGTTAGAAACGGATGAGTTGCTTAGACGTTCCATTTCTCCTTAACCTTTAGTTAATGTCTTTAGATATTGGCTTAGTCAATACATATATAGTGGCTCATGGCATTTTGAAAGTAAGATGGGCCAACAAACACTACACCACGCTAATAAATGATTATACTGAAGCGATTATAACTCCGTTGTATGCAACTATTGTACGAATTCTATTATTTTACTGTAACAAGGCATTAACCTGTTTACCTACAATCCTGAAGCTGGTGTTTGTATTCCTAAAGATCTAGCTGTAACTATGTCTCAGGATTAACAACCGCTCACTCTCACTCTCCGCACAAGGAACCTTTGCAAAGTTTTGTTTAAGGATAAAAAGGCCGGCATTAACAACGAAACCCTGACAATTCCTTCAGAGAAAGTGGACAGAAAAAATTATTCCTATTCCGAATTTGATTGTCAAACAAAAGAGAAAAATATTAAAAAGTAATATAATCTCAAGCGGAATTGCAGCGACTATACGTGCCAAACTACAAATCACTGCTACGTTTTTGATAAGTAGATAATGTTAGATCCAATAAGGACTTAATGAGGAAAATATGCTGAACGAAATAAGAAAATAAAAACAATAATGAAGAAATATTTAATTCCCTTCCCTAACGCGCATACGAGTACATATCGCATCATATCACATATATGTTACCATATGGCAGCACAGTGTCTGACTCACGTTTCTGGTATTTGCATCTAAAAAAAATCCTATATATATATATGCATGCATCTATACATGGTAAACATACTACGCGATGAGTGTGCTTCTCTATCCATCCACGTTTAGATCTGGAGTAAAAATACTTGTAAGGCGAATCTCTAGAAAGACGACACGTTTTCTCTCGGATTTAAGTAGAAGTCGTTGTCATTGATTTTTTATATTTTCTTTTGTCTTTTTTTTTTTTTTTTTTTATTTTTCTGATGTGCGGTCGGTCACATTTAGACAAATTTTATGATCGTTATAAATTCAAGTGTGACTTTTTTGTAAATATTTTCCATTACATGTAATTGGGAGAGAGAGAGAGAGAGAGAGAGAGAGAGAGAGAGAGAGAAAAAAGCTATTCATTGACTTTTATGATAATCTTCTTGAATATAATGCGATGTTGTGTTAATGTATTTACCATTATTGTCTTCTTCTCTCATTACAGATTAAGAATTTATGTCTATCGTAAATGAATTTATTGAACCAAAGTATTTGGCTTGCAGTTCACTGTTCGTTAAGTTAACAGTCATTCATATCGTTTATGGTTAATTGTTTATGGCGAAGAATACATTAAAATTCCATTGCGATTAATAATTTTGTTTTTGGCAGAGTGCATTAGAGTGGGCGAAGTTATTTTGTGATATGACTGCTAAATATCACAAGAATGCATCAAGCGGGCGGAAAAAGTGGTCGCCCCAAAAATAGTTATACAGCCGAAGCGCTTGAGACGATCAAACAAGATTTAACCAGATTTCAAGTACAAAAGGACAATGGAGTACAGGTAAGAAGTTTCCAAAATTATTACTTATACGCCTCATCAAAGTGGTGAGGCAAAGGAAATAAATGAATTGTTTTGTTTTGTTCGTAATTACCGGATAGTCCTTATTTCGAATAGAGATTCTATTTTTCCACTTATCCGTCTACCTGGCCTCGGTACTAATTGCCAAGTCTAAACCTAAAATTTTGCCATCTAATGCTTTGATCAATAAGTCTTGGAACTTATTGCAAAACCAGCATATTGCTTACGAACTGCGTACTTTTCGAAAATACTTGAAGGATGTTAGCCGTTAACATGGCCAATGTAGGTTTGTAAATGGCAAAGCATTGCAAGGCGTATAATGACCTAACTCGCTCGGTTATTTGTACACATTTATAAAAAATAGTTTTGGTTTGACGGCAAGCAGTGTTGAAATATATCCGTACCGGAGTTAGGCTGAAAGTAAAAATGCAATGCTGGTTATATGACGGCATGGGTGCCTAAAGGGCTCAGGTATTCTCACTTGGACAAATTGCATCTAAGCTGCTTAGTATAAGCACGGTCATTGAAAAGTTTCCTAGACTTGGGGCTTCAATGATATTGCCAGCAGCATCACTTTGTCGTCGTCGGCAAGTACCGGCCTACATGTAAACTCTTCATAGACTTTAAATCAATCGCTTAAAATATTTTCAACTCACGACAGCTGATTAAAGCATACCTATTTTCCGGGGATTCTTGGGAATAGGGTAAAAAGTAAAAAAAGGCAGCCATAAGTAATCGGTTTCTTTCTTCGCCTTCAGAATAGCTGGGAAGCGATGCAATCATTCTGGAAATGGTTTATTTTGTCCATGAGACCCATGCGACATTCCCGATCTCGTCTGTATGTACTTACAAAGCCAGCGTTATGTCATGATAAGATGAATTCTTTTCTAGCTACATTCTCAGTGACATCGCCGTTTACATCGTTTTTACACAAATGAAACTGAAATTGCGCGGCCATTTGGAACTATGGCATAGCCATCTTGGAATGCAATATTAAAACTGACGATTGAAGGTATAGGCTTATTTGTTTGCAGGCGCAACATGGCGAAAACCTTATAAGAAGAGCATTGAAAGGAAATTTGCTGAATTGCTACTTAAACAAATTGCTTTAGAGCTAATGAGGATTTAGAAAATTTTTTTTACAAGGGAAAATAAGTGAGACAATACAATGGGACAATACACAGATTGCTATGGCAATAACTAAGTTTAAGGAGTTTCTCTGCGAATTATTAATCATTCCTAAACCGCCCGTCAAACCTTCCAAACAGTCAAATCATCTTCTTTTTGGAGGTAAAGCTGTCTCCTAAATGTTATTGGCACCATTTAGTTTTTGCTTGAATTATCCCTTTCACTGCTTGTTAATAACGATATTCAAAAATTCTTGCAAAAATCGAATTCTTGCTGTGGGTTAAAAAATCTAACTAGATCCTAAATCGAAACAATTATGATTTCCGAGCTGGCAATGCCTTTGAAACGCCATTGAAAGTTAAGCATTGACCTTTGAATTTCAGCGCTGCAGCATTTTGTGGTTGTTTTAATTTTGGGCCAGCGACTTCTACAGGCAGAAATGATAAATAAATCGGAAATATCAGTGTACATAACCTTAACCTTCTTCTACCTAAAATAATAGTTTTCAATTTAATATAATTGAAATATTCAGTACATACACGCACGCTCATCATGGAACGCTCGAAATTGCGTTGTCGGCCTTCATTACTTTTGTTCTTTGATTTAAGGCAATCTGTTAGCGAATCCCATCAAACCCTTTTAGAAAGTTATGGTTATGGTTATGGTTGCTCCGTCGTATCGCAATCGTCGATTTAGGCTTTAAAGTGATGTTGATGGCAATGACAAAGAACGGCCTGGAGAATCAGGAAAGTTCGAAGACAGGGAATTGAACGATAACCCAACTCACACCCTCAAGGAACTTTCGGACAGATTAGCAGTCAGTAAATCAACGGTTTCTAGACAATTGCATGCGATGGCAAAGGGGCAATGCCATCTTCAAGTGAAAAAATGGCCAACATTTGTGCAACCGCCTAATAGTAAAATTCAGTGAAATGCGTAGAATATTTGCAGTTCAATTCGCTCTAACGGAGTTTACTAGTCTAACTTGTAGGGGGTTTTGTGTTCTTTTTATCAAATTAAAGAAATGTTTACTTCTAATGCCACAGTTTTTTTTAAATGTCCCCTAGGCTTTTAAAAAGATCTTCCGAAAAAGGTCATTGTGCAATAGTTTTTGTTTTCAAGTAAAAAATTTTTTAAATTCCTTAACAAATGCATAAATATTTGAAAAAATGCATTACAATACTTTGTCTGGCTGGTTGGCTTTTCATAAATACATATTCCATGATTTTATTGGGGATAAAGTAGGATTTTTATTCAAAGCAAGAAATTATATAAACATAAATATCTTAAAGGAGTTGAATGAATTGGAAGATGGCGGAAAGGAACGTAAATATTATACTATGCTGTGTAATGAGTAGGTTTTTTTTCGTAGCTTGGACGTAGTAGGACAAGCTTGTTCGCTTTCACCTAACAATGAAATGAATATCTCGATGCGGATTGAATCTCTTCAGTCGAATCAAAACGATATCATATATCTAAGTTTTAAGCAAGAGCAGAGCTCTTCGACCAAATCTGGTGGCACGAAACCTCGAGGTTGGGTCGAATTTCTGCCGCAAAAGAATAGAGGGAGAAAAACCCCCGAAGAACGCAAGACACATATTCTGCCCGTAAATTTGTTGAATAGCTTCGTTAAGGCAGTCTGCCTAGTTCGCGGCGGAAGGAATTTATATTGCGTGAAATCACAATACGATGATCGAGGAAAACTTACCGCCTTATTGCCTGCCGGTCACAGTAGCGTTAAACATCCGTGTAAATGCATTTTGACTCGTGAAGTCATGTCTTTTCATTGTTAGGCTACTGAATACAAGGTTCGAAACACAACACCTCTGTTAAGTCTTATCAGTTAACAATCATATTTTCAAGCAAATGCTAACTTCCAAAGGCTATCAATATGCCGTTAAAGCAGAAGAGTGAAGACTTTTTGAAGAACAAATAGCCATAGAGTTTGTTTAAACGACTGAATGACATCCATTTTTTACATTTTTGAAAATTAATTTGTGTTTGTGGATGACAATGGTGTGCCTTCTTTAACGACCACTCTTGATGGGGATCAGATTTGTGATAACAGTTTTGGGCAAACTGTTGTCTAAACATTTCTTGTTCTATTCATTTATATTGAATAATGGGAATCCGAAATTCGTCGGTTTCCCTTGTTTTGTTTTTTGTTTTTGTTAATCTTTTTTCTCAGAACATTGAAATTAGTGATTCGCTCTCGCCTTTTCTATTTCCTTAGAAAATGATCTATAGTCAGAAGCAAAATATTATTTGAGGAATTTCAGATTTCTCTTCCTCTCAACGTCTTATCACGCTTCTCTTTTCTCCTTTCTCTCGCTATTAGTTGTCGTTTTCACATACAAACAATTATTAAATAAGAGCTTATGACGGAATTTGAAAAGACAATAGATCTGGACACTTTGTCTACCACCCCATGCCAACAGATCATCATCCCACACTAAGAATTTCATAAGAAAAGAGACGCCCCTACGTCTCACTTCGTTTTTTTTTTTTTTTTTTTTTGTACGGCTGCATACACAAGCACAAGCTCAACCGCAAAGAATTATTAGTATTACATGCACACATGTACAAACAACAACATGTCATTTATACAATTCCGATTCAATGCAATGCTTTTCATTTAGTTTATGTATTTTCGTCATTAACGGAGAAGAAAAGGTCAATTGAATATTTGTTCTTGTTTGATTCAGTGAATTTAAATTTAATTTTTTATTTAATACAAAAAAAATGCTTTTCTTTCGCGTTGAGCAATTTTCTATTTCATGAGCCCTCATTTAATTTCCTACGTAACTGAAATCTCATTTTATTATATGTCTTTCAAAAATGTGACGCTAAGCAAATTTTAATAATTTTTGATTGTGTTTTTGTGTTTTTCTTCTTCTTTGTTTTCAATATTTCAGTTATATTGTTCCTTTGCCTCTAAATATTTCTCTCCCCTTCTCTCTTTCTCTTTCTGTCTATCTGTCTGTCTCCGCCCTTCCATTGTGTAAAAGAAGCAGGTGAATAATCTTTAAAGCTCGTGCCTTAAGTGGGTGCTTACCTACAGCCTACACACGCAATAAAGCCGCATAAAAGAGAAAACAATAAATTATTCCAAAAACAATCTTTAATTTATTAAGATATAAATAACAATAAAAATCAATTTGGATCAAATTTAACAATGTTTTAGGAAATATATCTCGAGCGTAATATTTTACGAAAACTAATACGGATTGGATGGCCATGCATATCTATCTGATTGAATTATTATTATATTTGTTTTTTCTTTTCGTTCATAATGAACAATGTGGTTCCCTCCTTTGGACTGAGGTAATTCCCGCAAAGATTTTTCATTTTTAGCTTTCAATATTTTGTGCCTCCTTTAAAGTTTTCAGCAAATTGTAGGCTTCTTTTTCATTAACAGGGCAGACTACATTAAGCGGACACTACCCTGAACCGCCAGTATGCGGAAAGGTTGACGATGATATCAAAATTTACTATTTCTCTACGTACACGTCGGTCTTACGTGCATTAAGCAGGGATGAATGTGAGGCCTCAGCATATATAGAGAAGTTGACGGCCACGTTGTATTTTACCATTTCTCTGCACGGGTCTTTGCGGAGTTCTGTCGAACGGAAATAGGGCTGAGTTGCGATTCCGTAGAGAATTTGACGGTGACATTGCATTTTGCTATGTTTCTAGGAGCTGCATTAAGTGAAAATGAGTCTGAGCGTCCATTATAGAAAAAAGTCATTGTATAGAAAATTTGACAGCGACAATATACCTTAGTGCTTCTTTACGTACTTCTCAGCTTTGCCGGCGGAGCTACGTTAAGCTCACATCCATTTGAATATTCGTTA